GGCTCATAAATATTTATAATTGTTATAGCTTTTTAATTCCCCTTATTCACACACAGTGGCCTGCTTTAACTCTTCAGATAATTTTTGCTTGAAGTCTTTTGTGAGATGTCAGGACAACTTTACTAGCCTCTTCAGTTTCTGTTCATGTGATAAATTGTTTTTTCCTTTGATTTTTCCATCTATATGTGACTATCAGTGATGTGTGTTTCTTGGAGACAACATATAGCTGAATCTAGATTTTTAATCCATTTACTTCACCTTTGTCCCTGTATTGGTAAGTCAAGGTCATTTACATGTGTGGTTATTGCCGAGAGATGTTTACTAATTCCTGTATTTTGCTGATTTCCTCGTTGATTGATATTGGTTGTTCTTTACTATATCTTCTATTACTATTGAGGACTATCTGGCTTACTGAGTTGGACGTGATGATTTCCTTCCTATTCCTGTTTTCATGAAATTTATTTTTCTGTTCTCTTATTGTTGAGACTGTCCTCTCTATATGGTACTCCTTTAAGTATCGCTTACAGTGCTGACTTGGTGGTCATGAACTGCCTCAGTTTGTGCTTGAAATGTCTCTTGCTCTGTCAATTCTGAAAGACAGTTTTTCTGGAGATAACACTTTTTGTTTCATGGTTATTTTCAGGACTTGCAATGTGTCATTCCACACTTTACTGGCATTTAGGGTTGTTGAGCCGATGGTCTCATGTTATTCTGATCTTCCTGCTTTGTAGGTGAGTTCATGTTTTTCTCTTATAGCTTTTTGCTTATTTAAGAAGTTGTTTTGTTTGTTTGCCTGCTTGCTTGCTTGCTTACTTTGAGACAGTGTCTTAAGCAGTCCAGCCTGACCTTGAACTTACTGTGTAGCTGAAGATACATTAGTAGTTTCTGATCCTATCATATCTACTTCTGAGATTCTGGGATTGCAGGCATGTCCCAACAATATGGTTCCCTTAATAGCTTTTTAAAATGATACTTAATTGTGTGTGTGTGTGGTACTTGTGTGCATGCACACATGGCATGGAAATTTCAATTTCCTTGCTAAACTTTTCTCTGTATTTCCATTCTTTTATCCAGGTTCCTAATGTCATCAATTTTGCTGACTTTTTCCTCAGTGTTTCCTTGTGTCTTCAGTTTCCACTTCCTTCACTGAATTCATCTGCTTGTTTGTGTCCTCTTTGAGGTCATCGATCATTCTTATCAGAAAACTTTGGAAGTTTTTGTCCAGCATTTTCCTTATTAGCCCCTTTGAGCTCTGTAGGTGAGGAATTATCTTTCTGGGGGAGTCATGTGGCCTTGCTTTATTTTACTTGTGTTTGTATTATAGTTTGTACATCTAGTGGTAAGTCTTCTGGTTTTATTTGGGAATCTTCTTGTTGAGCAGCCTATTCAGTTTCCACTCCTACTGAGAGAGGAAGCAAATGCTTTAGCTTCCCTTCCCTCCCCTAAGAGCCATGTTCAACTTAATTCCTAGGACTTTGTTGTTTCTGCACAGCGCAGGTTTCCTTTCATTTCCTTTGTGGATTACTACAGCTCTTCTGTTTAGATAGTGTCTGGGTTCTCTTATTCTGATTCTCTCCTTCGCAGGCTTACATGAAGGCAGCTTCTAGCCTACCATTTACCTGGAAGTCTCCGATTCACTTCCTTGACATAGACTCTGGCAATCATGGGTAGCTTTCCTCAAATCTTAAACCAAGAGATGGCAGAAACCCAAAGGAAGTCCCAAAAGTAGTATCTTTTTGAAGTTTCTTTGTTTTCAGATTGTGTCAGGTTTCTGTCGGACTTTATTTAGATCTGCAGCTATGGCAGGAGAGAGACTTTATTTCATGAACTGGTGAACAGATAGGAAGGATTGAAAAATTGAAGCAGGATGAAGGCACATGGAAACTGCAGCCTAGTACCATGGTGGGTCTTTTTTTTTTTTTGTTGGGAGAAACGGTTTAGACAGGGTTTCTCTCTGTAGCTTAGGAACCTGTCCTGGAACTAGCTCTTGTAGACCAGGCTGGCCTCGAACTCACAGAGATCCGCCTGTCTCTGCTCCCCGAGTGCTGGGGTTAAAGCCATGCACCATCACCACCCGGCCTAGTACTATGTCTTAAGCAAACAAGTTTTGTTTTCACTTCTAGTATTAGGTGTTCTGGACTCCCTCCAAATTTCAAATTCTTCTCTAGTGATCTGGGGGTTTCTGAAGTCACCGAAGGAAATGATTTGCAATTTGAAACAATGGCATAAGGAAAGGCACAGCCATTGATATAAACTGCAAATGAGCAGCTAGGCCACAGTCTTTTCACTCAGTCTGTGAGCAAATAATCCTTCCCAGAAATAGCTGAGTTCCACCTATGATTTTGCTGATTTGAGCAAGTAAGTTAACTTCTTCAGGCTTCAGTTTCTCCACCTTGAAGGACTAACAGTCTCTACACCACTGAGCTCTTCTAATGAAAACCCTTGGCCAATCCCTGACTACTTGAAAGTCTTGATATTAACCCCACTTGTGCATTATCTTCTCCAGTGACCACCAAATGCAGCCCTCATTTCTCTTCGCCATGTTTTCACCATTTTATACATACACTAGAACTTTGCAAGTTCTAGTTTTCTATGGATATAGGGGAAAATACTGTAGCTGTGAAGGGGTAGACGAAAGAAAAGCATTTTGAACTTTCTCAGAAGTCAGTACTCAAAATCTGAGGGAGTGACAATTTTTCTGATTTTTAAAATTCTGTCCCTGTACCAAGAGTAAAAACAGAAAGGGATTAAATGTGTGTTATTGAAAAGAGTATCACTTTGTAGTATGCAGACCTATGTTTGAACCTCAGTTCTGCCTTTTTTTTTTTTTTTAAGAATAGGGTGTATTTATTTTATGTGTTTGAGTGCCCATGCACATGCCCAAGGAGGCCAGGAAAGGGTGCTGGATACCCTGGACCTGGAGGTACAGATGATTTTGGGCTGCCATGTAGGTGCTGCCAACTGAACCCAGGTCTTCTGTAAGTGTAGCAAGTGTGGTTAACCTCTGAGCCATCATTCTAGCCCCTAGCTCTGACTCTTAGGATAAGATCTGTCTGTAGATGAGCAGATGGTTTCAGCTTTCTGAGCCATGGCTTTTTCACTTGTCAAATATGTCTTATAATACTATACGGAATCATTGAGAATGTCATGGGGGGAAAATATAGGAGGGAGATGGAGGGCGGCGGGCAGGGGTGAGAGAGAGAATAAGAACCTGCTTGCATATGAGCATGTGCTTTATTTTAGAGTTAATGAAAATGTTTCACACATTCTGGCACTGAAGTCCTTGTCACTTTTACTTTGCAGAGTTGGTACAAGCCTTCTCCTTTTCTGGTCATTCTTAGGTATTTTAGCCAGAAGCATCATAACATGTTTGCGAATGGCTATTACAAACTGAAAACCCCAAAGTAAAAACTTAAAAGACATGTAACTATTATTTCACTGATTTTTTTTGTTTTGTTTTCTTTTCTTTTCTTTTTTTTTATTGAGAAAAGGAGAAAAAAAAAAACAAGTTTCCACCTCCTCCCAGCCTCCCATTTCCCTCCCCCTCCTCCCCCCCTACGCCCCCTCCTCCCACCCTTCTCCCCCTCCCCCCACTCCTTTCCCCCTCCCTCTCCAGTCCAAAGAGCAGTCAGGGTTTTCTGCCCTGTGGTAAGACCTAGGACCTCCCACCTCCGTCCATATCTAGGAAGGTGAACATCCAAACTGGCTGGGCTCCCACAAAGCCATCACATTACGTAGAATCACACCCCTGTGCCATTGTCCTTTGCGTCTCATCAGCCCTCATAGTTCGCCATGTTCAGAGAGTCCAGTTTTATCCCATGCTTTTTCAGTCACAGTCCAGCTGGTCTTGGTGAGCTCTCAATAGATCAGCTCCACTGTCTCAGTGGGTGGGTGCATCCCTCGTGGTCCCGACTTCTTTGCTCATGTTCTCCCTCCTTCTGCTCCTCATTGGGACTTTGGGAGCTCAGTCCAGTGCTCCAGTGATTTTTAATGACAAAACGTTTGAAAAGTATTGTCATCAGGGCTCTGAGAGAAAATCTGTTAGGTATAATAGTATAATTTGGTATGTTTAATGAAGGCAGTGAAAGCAGTTTGAAATTTTGACTGCAAATAGGTTGTAACCCAATAGTTCCAAAAATGTATCAGAGAAATGCCAGTGTTTGTATATATTTGCAAAACATGTATACCAAGTCATTCACTACAGCATTGTTTTTTAATAGCAAAACTCAAATGTTTATCAAAGCACCCATTAAGTTATGAATGAGGAAATGTTTTATATACCCTTAAGTGAATAGGGAGTGTTTGCTAAAGTGTATGTTGATTGAATGTTGTATATTTGGGGGATTATAGCTTCTCTTAAACATAATTATTTGTACTTGAGGTCTACAGAAACTGGTTAACTTTGTGTGAGTGGGTAAGTAGGAACAAAGGAAATGGGAGATTAAATTAGAAGGGATACTTTTCATTGTATCCCTTTTCTATTTATTTATTTATTTATTATATATACAATATTCTGTCTGTGTGTGTGTCTGCAGGCCAGAAGAGGGCACCAGACCTCATTACAGATGGTTGTGAGCCACCATGTGGTTTCCGGGAATTGAACTCAGGATCTTTGGAGGAACAGGCAATGCCCTTAACCACTGAGCCATCTCTCCAGCCCTGTATCCCTTTTCTTATTTTCTATTTTTAATTAAAAACTTTTCTAGTACTAGAGCTTGAACACAGAGCCTTACACATGCTAGGCAAATTGGCTACTGCTGAGCAATGAGCTATATCTCTAGGTCTTATTTTTTGGGTCATTTTCCTCTTTTAGTTAATTTTTTTTTTACCACAAAAAATATATATCTATATTTTTATATTGGGGGAGGGAATAGAAAAGAAAGCAGCCCCTATACTGGGCCCTATTCAGTGACAGCTTCTTGTTTTATAGGGCTAAGGAAGACTTGAGGAAATAAAAGTTGTTTGGAAAAATCCAGATGTCGTTGCTTTATATGCTATGATGGGTAGGAGGGATGAAGTGAAGTGTGAAGGCCCCTCACACTCTCCATCTTGCCTCAGACTATGTCCTGGAAGCCTGGGATGGAGAAAACGCTACTTTCATTCCTGCTTCTTGGAATTGTTGACAGCCACGTAGTAATAGAGAGCCACAAGCAAGAAAAGCGACACGCCCTGCCTGTTGGTGAAGATGGCGGGCTGCATGTCCGTGATCATCCTGAACAGCTCTACTCAGCTCTGATGCTACTGTTTGCTGTACAAGTTTGAGGTAGGATAGTTAAAATTTTTTTATTCAATATATTTTGATCATGTTTTTCTTCTTTCCCAACTCCTCCTAGATCCCCCTCCCTCAGTTTACCCACCTTCATGTTTATTTCATTCCTTCAAAAGAAAGGATGCCAAGCTGGGCAGTGGTGGCACAGGCCTTTAATCCAAGTACTCAGGAGGCAGAGGCAGGAGGATCTCTGAGTTTGAGGTCAAAGTGGTTTACAGAGCATCCCAGGAATTCAGAGAGGATCAGGTTAAGCAAGTACAGGCTGTTCCATGTGTCCTCACACAAGAACTGGGGCCAAGTGCTCTGAGCCAGAAAGAGACACAGTAACCTGGTACCAGGACTTCAAAAAAAGTCAGAAGACGAGGAGAAGACTGTGCTTGAGAAATGAAGCCTCACGTCCAGCAGCATGGTCAGAGATGGGTAGCCCTGCCAGAGACCGTATTGAGAAGCTGCCAGTGAGTGAGAAAGTAGATTTGTTGCAGCTGAAAGAGGTGGCTAGGGTTCTAGTGTGAAGTGAATACCTTTCACGGACCTTGCCAAGGTATGCCACTAAGCAAATATCCAACAGTTAGTGGAAGAGGTTTATTGGGAGGGGGAGAGCGAAAGAGTGAAAGGGTAATACCTCCTTCCATCTGTTGTGTCGCTGGCAGAATGTTGCAAAGGTCCCGTAAAATATCAAGCGGGAAGCTGCTATTTGTACTGATATCTAAGGGATATTTGGGCAGATCTGACTACAAAGGTGGGCACAGTTTAGAAGCCTTTAAAATTTTGCACTGAGTGCAAAAGTTGGAGGAATAGACAATGCCAAAGTTCTCAGGAGTGAGGCAGATAAGTGAGACCCAAGGGTCTGTAATTCCTAGCATTCCAGGAATTCAAAGAGGGTCGAGAAAGCATAGGCTGCTCAGTGATTCCTCAGACACAGAGTAGAAGGAGCCAAGGGCTCCAAGCCCAAGAGAGCCATAGACCTGGTAACAGCAGGGATTAACAAGGCCAAAAGGCGAGAAACCATCCTATCCTGGTTTTAAGACAATTTGAATCGTGGAGGAGAATCAGACATGCTATACAGGAACTTTGTCCTATGATATCCCTGGAAGCATCCTGTTCATCTCATAATACTCAGAGGGTGGAGTGATGCTTGCCCAAGGATCAGGAATAGAGGGAAATTTTTTAAAGCTGTAGGTTTAATTTATGCTGGGCTCTCCGCAACCATCAGTTCCCTCTCTGTTTAAGAAGTTTATGGCTTCTTTGTTTGTTAGACTGTTTATTTCCCTTGTTTGATTTCTTTTGATAGTCCTTACTTTGTAGCCCAGGCTTGCCTGGAAGTTACTATGTAGTACAAACTGGTCTGGAATTTGCAAATCTTTCCTGCCTCAGTCACTCAGATGCTAGGATCACAGGTGTGCACCACCATGTTCAGTCAGGAAGCTGGGGATAGATTCCTAGGAGACATTTCCTTCCTGTTATGGTACTCGTAAATCCACAAAAGCAATTCTCAAAGCAGCAGATAGAAAGGCAGCCATGACAGAATGAAGTGACCATCCTACAGGGTGTTAGCCTCCTTACTCAAGGTGTCCATGGTGTGGTTTACAGCCACTGTTCTTTGTAAGACAGTGCACTAGGAAAGGACAGCTGAGTAGATTTAAGGAAAACGATCTTAAATATTCTTTTAGGGCCTGGAAGGCTCAGTGGTTAAGGGTGCTTGCTGCTCTTGTGGAGGACTTAGTTCAGTTCTAAACACTCGGGTTAGGAGGCTCATAACCATCCAGTGCCCTCTTCTGGATTCTGAGGGCATCTACACTTGTGATATGCTTACATGCACACAAAATAAAATTAAACCTTAAAATACTTAACAGTTTGAATGGAAATAGTGACAATAGGTGACAGCCTTTCATTAACACGTTAAACCAGGCAAAATTCTAATGACATGCATTAACCTATTTAATTCTTTTTAAAAAAACTATCTTTTCCCTATTCTTAACACTTCTGTGAGATAGGTACTGGTGTTAATTCCCATTTTATACATTAGGGAGAGAAGACATCCCAGACTCACACATCCACTTAGATTTCCCTAGGTGCTAATTAAATCATAAAGTTTCCATGCAGACCCACATGATAAAAGATCTGGTGCATAGTCTTCAACACTGATGGGAGATAGCAGAACTTTCAGGGAATGGGACCTTATGGTAGGAAGTTAGGTTAATAGGGGTATGGACTTTAAGGGCATTTGGAGATTTCGGGCTCTTTCTCTTTGCTTCTCATCTGCTTGAAATGGTCGAGCATACTCTGCCATGATGTATTATGCCACGGTAGACACAAAACAGTGGAACTAAGTGACCATGAACTGAAACTGAAAGAAACTAGATTCTTCCTGATGTAGGAGGATCTTCTATCTATCTGTTGCTTTCATTGGTTAATTAATAAAGAAAACTGCTTGGCCTGATAGGTCAGAACATAGGTAGGTGGGGAAGACAGAACAGAATTGTGGGTGGAAGAAAGCAGGCAGATGCCATGACTCTCATCTCCGAGACAGACACTGGTTAGACTCATGCCAGTAAGCCACAGTCAAGTGGCAATACAGATAATAGAAATGGGTTAGATCAATATGTGATAGTTAGCCAATAAAGGACTGGAGATAATGGGCCAGGCAGTGTTTAAAAGAATACAGTTTCCATGTAAACTAGCCAAGGAGCCGGGCAGAGGCGGGAAGCGATCTGCCGCTCCTTTTACATCTTCCTCTTAAGCTGAGACAACTCAATCACACACTAGGTGTATCACAGGAATGCAACACCAGCAAAACTGTGTGTCTTGTAAATATTCTCAGTGAAATTTTCTTATTACCTGAGGTTCGTTTTCTAGGAAATGGAAATATGACCAGGTGTTGCTCAAACCGGTACAAGCCAGACCTTCACTTGAAGCTTTTATCTGGTCTGCTACTCAAGTGAAAACTTTACAGACGTTTAGCTACTCTTGCTCCCGATTTCAGGAAATTCCAGGAACCCTTGTTCCTGGGTTGTATTTGCAGCTTGGTTTGGTGTCTGGGCAATTCCTTCAAGTTAACTGAGTTAAGTCCTTTCTTTCTTTCCAGAGCTTGGGATCAAGCTCAGAGTCTCACATCTGCCAGCAAGCAAGCACTCTACTACTGACTGAGCCACCTCCATAGCCCGTGCTTAGTCTTGAGTAGCCACAAAATACTCTACGGTATGGCTAAATAAACCTTTTAACTTAGAGATTTCTGCCATTTAAATTATTTTATGTAGTTGAATATATACTTTTTTTCCTAAGGAATTCTATATGTCTAGATTTAAGACTCTTCAACCTTTATGTTATACACAATTTCTTATAGTTTTCAAAGTTTTAATAAAAAGTTTAACTTTGAAACAGTTGTGGATTCGTATGTAGTTATGTATTCTTTACCTTGTTTTCCCTAATGACAACTTCCAAAATAATATCACAAGCAGAAAATGGACATTAATATAATCTATTAATCTAATCCATGTTTCTTTCCTAGTTATTTATATATGCACTCATGCATGTGTGCAAGTTTAGTTCATTTTTGCATGTGTATGAATTTAATTCTATTTAATTTCGTCACATGTGTAGGTTTGTGAATCCATGACCGTCATAGTCAAGAAACAGTGTTTATCACTGCAGATTCCTTGAATGTTCTTTCATAGCAGTGGAGGGAAGGTAGATTCTCTCCCTTGTCCACACCACTTTATAGCAGACGAGGGGTGCGACCAGATCCCCCACACTCACATTCTCAGAGCAGCTCCCCCTCAACAGGGTCAGGCTTGTGTTTTTCACTGATTGTTCCACTCACTCTACCTTGTTGTCCTCAAAGTCCTGATATTCTTTTATGCTGCTGACACTTTTCCACTGAGCTTTTTCGTAGACTTTTAAGTTCACTTGTTATTTTGTTTCAGTACTGTATTTTTTAATCTTGATTGTTTGTTTTGGTGTTTCTATCTTTACTAAATTTAATTTCCATATATTGATATATCCTCATTGCTTTGTTTAGCTGTTGTTTTTGTTTATGTGGACATCTATCATTTTAGTCCTGCTTTCTTAAGTTCATTTATGTAGCTATTTATGCCCTCTCTGAATGCTTTGAAATTGTTGAACGTGCTTACGTCTTTTGGAATTCTGTGTCTTCAATTTCTTCTACTTATTCTTTAGGGAACATTACTAAGAGACTGGTGATTTGGAGGATGACTAGATACTGGTTTAGTTCATCTGGTTTTGTGCTGTAACCTGGGCATTCAAATTTACAATGTTAGTTAGACTTTCGCATGGGGTTTTAACCCACTAGATTAGAATCCCAAAGTGGGATTTAGCTTAGGGGACCCTTGAGATGGCAGAACAGATGGGTCTTTGGTGGGGACAAGATCTCATATATAGTCTGAGTGGAGTGGCTATGGAGCAAGTGACCAGAGGCCAAGTGATGGGAGGGTCACTTACTGGGGCCAGGGCTTAGTGACTGCATGGGGTGGATGTGGTGCACAGGAACAGATATGGAGCACGCCAAGGGTCAGGGTAGGTCGGGGTGGAGTCACTTTCCCAGTCTGAGCCAGAGCAACCTTGTGAAATGGCAGAACAGGTCAGGGGGCAGGGAAGGTGGGCAGTTTTTTTCAGGGCTCACACGGAAAAGGAGGGTGTGGAATGGCTGCGACATGAGCAATCAGAGGTAGATTGTGCCGGGTTTAGGCTAGGGGTAATATGCTGGGGCAGATGTAGGCTATGGGACCAGAGGCAGTGATTTAACTTTTTTGATAATACAAAATTAAAGAGATGTACCAGAGATTTATGGTTTTCAAATGCTAGGGAGGATAAGGAGGCAGGGGTGGTATGTATGGCTATGAAAGAAAGGGGAGAGTTGGCCCTTATGTCATAAGAGTAGGAGAGCTGTCCTTGCTCTTACTAGCTGCAGCACTCGAGAAAGTAGCCCCTGTGCATCGCCTGGGCAATATAGAGCTGGCCCTGGTGATGTAGATATGGGAGAGCCATGCCTGAGGACATGAGAGCAGGAGAATCTGCCCCTGCCCGTTGCTCATAGAATAAACCAGCCTGTGGCAGTGCTGGAGAGCTCACTTTGGTGGTGAGGATGGGGTAGAGTTGGCAGACTGACCAACCCTGCAACCACCAGGCCCAGAGGAACATCCACCTCCATCTATGTATAATCCGCTGGAGCATTTGAAGGGGCCTGTCTTGCAGATCCAAAGCTGCAGGATCTCCACGACAGAGCAACGGCAGGATATCTATTAAATTTGAGTGTTCCTACCTTTATTTTTATATAAGAGTATGCTTATAACTTTGTCTATATTGTATTGATACATTTACCATATTACAATGTACATTTCTACCTCTGATATTATTTATATAGTAATATTGTTTACATTTGATATGTAATGACATTGTTTACAATTGAAGATCATTGTCTTCATATATTGCACAGTTGTTTATTCTCTTAGTCTTCAAGTTAGATAGGTATTGAGAATTAATCAGGTCTTTTAGATACATAGAGATTATATTTAATATAGATAATATAATCTTCAGCCTCTTCGAAGAGCTGTAGAAAATGGCCTTTAATCTAACCTAGAATTTTGTGCCAACAAGACACAATCACTCCTGGCGACACCACTCTACTCCCGAGAAAATGTTTAGCACCAAAGACACTCCACTGGGAGCTTGTCTTCTTGGCAGAACTGGTCTTTGGGTTAAGAAAAGCCCGTACCTCAACTACCGACAAAGATACAGAATATCCATAAGTGGATAAAACAGGATTGTCTTATCTTGCCGAGACAGGGTAGGATAGTTCTAAGAAAGTTTCTTGCCTTTAATAATGGTATGTCAGTTATGTTAGGCCTTAGCCAAAGTTGGTTGACTCAACATTGCAAATGAGACTTTGGGTGATTGCCCAGGTAGTCAGTTGTCTCTGTCATTTGTTGCACATTTTGGATATCTCTCGTTTGTTAAGTAATATTAATTCCCTTCTCAGATCTTTGACGGAGTTGAAGATTAGATAATTGTAGTTACTTTCTACCTTATTTAGACTCCTTGAGATAGAATGTTTAACAAAACTTTTATTATATGTTTCTTGCTCAATATTGATTGTTATATTTATTTGTTATTATTGTATAGTTGTATTTGGTTTAGTTCTGTCTTATTTAGACAAAAAAGGGAGATGTAGGGGAAACTCTGCCCAATGGGGGGCGTGTTCACCTCGGGCTAATGTTTACATATAAATCTAGCAGTGTGAGCCCCGCCAGTCTCTCTTTTTTGTATCTCCTGCTCATCGTTGGATCCCTGGTGTTGTAAGCTATTCCTTCATTAAAATTTACTGTTTCATATTAAGCTAGCCTGGTTATTACGCTGCCTACACTCTTTTTCTTTTAAATTTTATCTTATTTGGGTTGGGCAGAAGAGGGTGGATATGAAAGGATGGGGAGATGAATGGCATCAAGATTCATGATGTGAAAGCCATAAAGATAAAGAGGGAACAAAACAAATACTTCCCAACTCATAAGCTAAAAAAAAAAAATCCAAAGAACTAATTATTATTCAGTGAAACATTGAAAGCCAGGAGGTGTTGGATAGACATTATCCTGGTTTGCATTCTTTTGTGATAAAAACCATGACAAAAACAAGTTGGACAGAAAAGGGTTATTTCTGTTTGTTTTTCAGTTTTCAATATCATTTCTAAAATTTTCCTCCATATTTTGGACTTTTATCTCCAGTTTACTAATGGGTAAATCCACTTTGGAGACTGCAGTGTCAGGGTCTTGGCTAGATGTCCTTAGTTCATGCATCTGTGTGTTTATTCTTCTTTATGATTATTCTTTTGAACAGTAAGACTAATTTCTCAGTTCAGCTATCTCTATAATTTAGGGTTCCCTCGTAGGGGATTTGCTCAGTTGGTCACAGGCCATAGGTAGTGGTTGTCACATTTTTTATGTTGCTTTATTGTGTTTTATGCATCTGTTGAAGTGAGTTCTTTTTTGCTTTCCTTTTCTTTCAAGCCTATTAGGATACTCTGTTTTCTGCCGATAGGAGTATCTGGATGAAGTTCAGTTAAGGGGACTAGTGAAACTTGGTGATGATTATTGATTGGGTTGCTGAAATGATCTTATCTTGGCTATGTGCCAACAAGACCAAAACCTTGGTCACTCCTTGGATTATATGAATCTGCTGGAGACAGGATACCAAATTTCAGACCCAGAAGTTTGTCTACTATCTGGGGCTATGGTTAGAGACACAGGCCCAAAATAGCCTCTGGAACTACAGCAATATAAACTCCAAATCCTGCAGTGACCATTGGAACCATAGAAATCAGAATCTCACCCTGTAACAATCCCAGAGATTACTGGAAATTGCAATGCTTGTCTCTTAGGGGATGCTGGGCACACTGGAGCCAAAGCCCAGGCCCTGAACTCACCTCTAAAGCCACTGGAGTGGAGTCCTGGCCGCAAGGTGCACTCTGGTCTCACAAAAGCCTGATGCCTGAGCAATGGCTCTCCGATTCTGCAATAGCGAAAGCATAAAGTCAGTGTGGAGCGCCTCAGCCTCCTTTTCAAAAGGCTGCTCTCACTGTAGAGGAGTTTATGGAGTTGGACAATCTTCGGGTCTTGTTAATTTTAGTGTGGGGGGTTTTTTTAGTTGCAATTTCTGATAATAAAGCTTAAGTTTTAAAATATTAAAAATATAGTAATTTGCAAGACCTCAAATCATTAACTTAATTGTGTACCTTAAGGCTTTGGAAAAAGAACAATCCAAATCCCAGAATAGTAGATGGGAAGACATAATTAAGAGCAGGAAAAAAAATTTAATGAATTAGAAATGAAAAACTACAAAGAATCGGTGAAATGAAGAGTTGGGTCTTTGAAAAAAATAAATAAGATTGACAGACATTTAACCAAATTAACCAAAACCAAACTAATAAAATTCGAGACAAAAGGGAGACATTACAACAGATCCAAATGAAATCAAGAACATCATAGGAACATACCTTAACCTATATTCTGTTAAATTGAAAAATCTGAAATGAATGAATTCCTAGATGCATAAAATTTAGATTATTCCATAAACCAGAAAAGAAAAAAATGCCAAGCAGTTTATGAAGCCAGTATTACCCCTATCAAAAGCAGATAAAACCCAGGTAGGAAAGACAAACATTACATGCTCTTTCTCGGCAGAGGCTTCTAGTTCCATATCTTCAGATGTGAGTGCGTATCCAGCAATAACTGCAGAAACAAGCAATGTAAAAAGGGACCCTTGCTGTACCGAGGGGATGGGGGTAGAAGAGCAATAGAGAGGTGAATAGTCGGGTACAAGTGATTTGATGGGGGAAATGGGAAAATGGTGCCTCTAATTAGGGAGTAGGAGGGATATAAATACAGAAAAAGCAGGGAAGAGAATAAAGTAGCAGTAAAGATAATCTGAAAAAGTAAGAAATCATACTCT